CAATTAAACTACCCAAGACTGAGCTGGGAGACAGCAATTGAAAAAAATACACATTTTTATATTTTAATTCCAGCCAATATTAATGATTCATGCAAATCATTACGTGATATTGTATCAGTGCCATTTACCCATATCTTTACATCAACAAGATGGAAGCCATATTCCTTGGCTCCCATCAATGTCTTCTGTCCTATGGTTCTGACCTCCTCAACCTCCGAGGCCTATCCCTCAGACTCACCGAACCTGTGCACAATCTTGGTGTCAGCTTCGACCCACATCTGTCCTTCTTACCCTATATTTGGTCCCTGACCAGGACTGCATTCCTCCACCTACGCCACATTGCCCACCTCCGACCGTACCCTACCCCAGACTCAGCCGAAACACTCATCCATGCATTCGTCACCTCCCAACTCGACTTTTCAAATGCTATCCTTGCCAGTCTCTCCAGCTCCACCATACACAAAATTCAGCTGATCTAAAACTCCGCCACCCGCAAACTCACCTGCACTAAACCCCGTAATTCCAACACACCAGGCTCCACTGGCTCCCTATCGCCGAATGGATCAATTTCAAGATCCACACAATCAATTTCAAATCTCTTCATGTCCTTGCACCTCCCTACCTCTCCGACCTGCTTACCCTCAACCCACAAACCGCTGCCTCCGCTCGATTGGCTTTGGCCTCCTGCATGTCCTTGTGCCCCCCATTCCACTGTTGATGGCCACGCTTTAAGACACAACACCCGAAACTCTGAAACACTCTTCCTCGATCCCTCCTTTGCCCCTTCCTTCCCCATCTTCAGATTAGGCCTGAAGACCTTCATCTTCAACCTCGCCTATGGTCACCTCCCCCTCCCCCCAGCTCGGTGTTGTGCTCCACCACTGTCAAGCGATCTGGATGCAAATTGTTGTTGTTATTTTAGTCCGGAAGTGAAACACAAATTCAATGCTGAATGTTTGAAACCAGGCATGTGCATTCTCATAATCCTCGCACAAACTTAAGTGGAAACTGATTTCACGAGCAAAACCTTTTCATACTAATTTTATTTGGTATTTAATCTGAGACATTAAATGTGCTGTGCCAATATGAAACTTAACCACAGTGTGGAAACAATATAAATCATATACAGACTCCCAAAAGAGAAAGGGTTGCATTATTGTCTGTAATTTGAAATGAAAATGATCACTTTAACAAATGTTGAATTTCAGTTACCAAATCTTTGCTTTTTTTTGGTCAGCCGGGTGTCTGACACAAATGTGGAAACCCATCACCATACGCAGAGTATCCAAACCAAATTGAGAATTCCATGCAGCCCACCTACATATGGAAATTCCAGAGATAGATGTTTGGTATGTGCACTCTGTCCCTGGAGGGAATGTATCCTGCATCCCAATTCCGGAAAATATTAGGCAAAGGTTGGCAGAAGTCAAGATTTGGCAACCCAAAGTGTGTGTTGGGGTACTGCTGTAGTCTAACCAACTAAAACTGCATAGCTTGCCATTGAGATCACTGTCTGGCAAGTTTTACCGTGGCTTGTCCAGAGAGCTAGGACCACCAACGCATTAAGGATTTGGTTTGCGAAGTTAACAGGAGCTGAGTGGGATTTCCTGCACCAAATGTTTGCAAAGTCTTTACTGAAGAAGAATTTTTATTATGCCCTTCAAGCTACAACAACATTTTATTTGATGTTTGTTTTCAAATTATTCTGCTTAAACCAGCCAACTTCCCAAATTTAAACCAGAACAACTAATTCTGGGATTTTGTTTTGAACAACTAGCTCTGGGATTTTGTGATAACTTGGATTTTCTCTGGAAATTCACCATTTCAAAGTTAGTTTTGAGGTAAGTTACTCATATACCTTCTTTCTTGATGTACCTACAGAAAAAACAGAATTCCATGTTAAGAGCTGTATACGATTTGTGGGATATTGATGTTCGCAAATTGGTTCCCACAGTCGCTTACAAAATACACAGTCACTACACTTTACAGTATATCACGTGAAATGCTTTAAGGCACCGTATTATTATTATAAGTGTAGTAAAATTGGAAGCAATCTCCTCTTCCTTCACATCATATGTATCTGAAGTTCTGCTTGTGACCTTTACCTTATGTTTACCTTTTGACATCCAATGAGAACAGGAAAACGAAAAAGATTAACCATGAAAGGTCATGTGGCCAAAAGTTAATTGAAGTTAATTGTCTCCAGATACAGTACAAAACAACAGGAGTTTGTCAAAGAAATTGAAACAGACATCAACTCGTCCACCATGTACGCCTCCTGATAAACCACTGAATGACTTTGCCTGTTCAAATATTCAAGATTGTATCTCTTCAAAGTAGGTAACAACAAGTTGCACTTATGTTACACTTTTGTGCAAGATGAAAGCACTTCACAAAATCCAGGGGGATGACCAAGAAGAGAGGAATGGAGGGGGCTGGGTTTATGAGTGTTGAACAACAAAAACAAAATTACATTTATAGAGCGCCTTTCACGTCGGGCGGACATCCCAAGCGCTGAACAGTCATGTGTTGGGGCCCTAGCATGGGGGAGGGGTGGTGTAGGGGTGAGGGAAGGCAGAGAGGTGGGAGGGAAACCAAAGGCACGGTCGAAGAGAAAGGTCTTGAGACCGAACTTGAAGGAGGCAAGGGGGAAGCGATGCAAAGGGACCGTGGGATGGAGTTCCAGAGTGTGGGGGCAGAGAGGCTGAAAAAAGAAAGAAAAAAGAAGAAAGGCACAGTTGAAGGGATACATTCTATAAAGGATTTTGAAGGCAGTGAAAGAAAGTGTACAGCAAAGGGAATTTGGGGAGAGAATGCCAGAGAGTGGTGGCAAAGTGATAACTATTCTAACAACCATTATTACAACAACAAAATTACATTTGTATAACGTCTTTCACGTCGGGAGGACGTCCCAAGGCGCTGATTATTAGATGCCTTTCTAGGCACTGTAGAAAGTTCTGAGGAGTTTATCCCCACCTCCAACTTTCCCCTTTTAACCTGCCCCACCAACTCTCCGCCCCAGCTCCCCTCCTTGACAATGGATTATATTTGATACAATTTCATGAAACACACAAGAGTTCGCCCATTTTTCTTCTATGTGCTTGGTCAGTGACTCCTGGTGGCTATTTGACCAGAGGGCTCCCATATCTGGTCCTTTCCATGATGATTTTACCTACTCCTAACCACTAAGGCCATTATGCATCTCATCATTGCCCTTGCTGAGATCAACTCACAACATATTGTTTATGAAACTCAGGAATTCATGGTCACTACGGCTCAGCATTGATCTATGGAACTTCTTGGGAGAGCTACATCTCCAGGTTGTTCCATCTGCTTTCATGAAGGTGCTGCACTTTCCCCTTTTAATTTGCCCCCTCCAACTCTCTTCCCCCGCCTCCATCTGCCTCACCTTCCTACATTGATCAAGCAGTCAACCTTCATGTGTGTGACAAGACAGTCAATGCTGCCAGTCTATTTGACTCTGGAACAACAACAACAAATTAAATTTATATAGCGCCTTTCACGTCAGGAGGATGTCCCACAGATTAACTCATCACAGGTTAGCTTTATTCTGTCTCCTCCTGCCCATTTTCCAGCAAAGAACAGCCAGTGTCATTGGTTACCAAAAGGGAGCAAAAACCCTCACTAGATTTTCCTCTCCCTGATGCAGGGACACTGGAGCTATGTGCAACACTCCATCAATGTCCTGTGCAGCCCAGGAAAGGCTCAGGTTCAAATCCTGGCCTGAGCTGATATCAAGCACGACATTGATGGAGAGTTGCACATAGCTCCCATGTCCCTGCATCAGGGAGAGGAAAATCTAGTGAGGGTTTCTGCTCCTTTTTGGATAATACATTTATCCACTGAGCGAACAGAGCAACTTCCCGTCAAATCACAAAGCATTTTTTTCTTGTGATTGTATACAATCATTGTTAAAATGCTATAATTTTAACAAAAATATTTGTTTTCCATCAGCTCCTAACGTGATGTCAACACATTCTCCAATTCTGACAACCTGTAAATTTGTATTCACTTCATCTTCAAGAATTATTACCACATGAAATACACTTAAAATATCTAGATCAAAAAGGTTATAAATTCTGAACAGTTAATAGAGGCACTTATTATTTCAGAGAGAACCAGTCAACCTAACAGTGACCTCTGCCTTTATAAATACTTAATATGCCTTTACTTGTGGAGAACAAGACGGGGGAAAAAATCAATTGGAACTAATTGGACTTCAACCTGACTTCAACCTCCTTAAGTACAGCAGCTCAAGAAAAATGTACTCATCAAATTCAATGAAATGAGTCTGATGAAAAGATAAACATAATAACTGCATCTTTTGTCTTATAAATGACCATATCTGATAAGAGCTCACATCAAACAGAACCAGTTGAGATCTGGTACCAGTGTATCAAGAGGGCAAGCTTATTCACTTTGTGGAAATGTAAACAGTTTGTCTGAACTCAAGCTTGCTTTTGCCTCCAATTCAACCTCGCATTTGCCATGTTGCTTTTTAAGTTACAATCTTCCCAAACTCTTTCACATATTTTGTTGCATCCTCTTGCTGTCAGTAGCACAGCTTTTAAAAGTGTCTTTTTGCAAATTTCAAAGGGGAAAAAGAACAGACTAGCTGGAATATATTATCGAAAACAAAACACAAGTTTGAAAATAAATTAAAATGATTACTAAATACTGGAAAAATGGGGAAATTTCTAAGCCACTTAAGATTTTCTCTTGTGATTTTGAACATCTGTTGAAACAGCATGAATTGCAATACGCTTGTAAATCTTTCTCAGCTATGTGCTTTTTATTTTCAACCGAGTCAAATCAAAAAGAGATTTTGCAAAAGGCAAAACGACCGAAGCAGATTAAACAAATTTAAAAAGACAGCAAGACTAAGCAAACACATTGACACCAAAGCAAACTGGAGGCAATCACTTTTATCAGATGCTTAAAAGGCAGGCGCAGTTTGAAAATGTCGCAACTCACACTACCTTTTCCATTAGATTTTTCTTTTCTTGCACTTGATCCAGTGGCACACGGCATATCTCATCCTCCAGGCAAGCTAAGCTCACTGTGCAGCCCATAAGGATTGTTTTGTCCCTCTTTGCTTGTAATTCAGTCCCACAAACACTGCTCAGCAATCAGCTCTTGTCTGCACTTTTCAAGAAGGCGTTTCTCAGGTCAATGTACGATACTTTTAGGCAACATCAAACTAAATCTTTGAACGCCTGCTAGACTTGACCTTTAGCTTCTTAACTCAGAATAATCAAAACTCTTTTACTGTCAAAAAACAGCTCCAATATATTTAATGCAATGTCTACCAGTCAATTTGAACTAACCAGACTCGGTCCCTCACAATGGAAAAAAGCTCGGAATATGTCGCATGCCTTTGGCTCCACTAAGGAAATCAAGCCTTCCTATCCTGGTGGGAGGGTTTCTGAATCTGGGTACTACAGCCAGAAACACAGTTTGAAAAAAAACATTGGAAGCTTCTGAACATAAATCATTCATTCAGCCAAGAAATATTAAACTCTCTGCAAATGACCTGTATAAAAAATGACATACATTTAAATATATATGAAGTAGTAATTATTTCAGAAACAAATACGCTGCTCAAGACAACCATATATCAACAATTAATCTGTACAATGAGACAGTTGAAACCAGTTCCATGCGAGATCAAAGTGATTTTTACCAAAGCCACATGTCATACAATACACCATGATGATGTACATTACCTGTATAAATATTAAATAGACTGCAGAAAAAAAACTTAATGATGGTTAATGTCACCTGCAATTATTTCTTTCATGTTATGTCTTTTATTGCACACAAGAATCACCATCTAAAAGTTTTTGCCCTTATGAGCAAAAACATTATTATTTCTGGAATTTGAAAAGATGCCTTCAGGGGGTCCTTTTAATGAAATCCAGACCTTCAACTTTGGCTGGAGTTAACAACAGCTCAAATATCAGGAAATGAGCCCCATCTGCTCTGAACGGATTCACCCTGATTTAGAATAACTATTTCATAAATCTAACCAATAAATGCATGCCTGCAGCCATTGAATATAGTTTTGTTTTATTATCTCCCATTAGGTTTTCAAATTATATATATATAAATAGTTTGAAAAGCCAAGGAAATGAATTGGACATTCTCTGACATTGTGCTTTACTGATTTTTCCAATGAATGTCTTATAATCCTATGCGAGATCCACACTTTATCCCATATATATATAATATATATGCATATATATAATATATATATAACATCCTTATTTTGAAATAACACCTTTCGCATTAAGAGGACGTCTCAAAGTGTTTCACAGAATATACAGTAAACTGTAATGACTGTGTTTTGTAGAAAAATATGACAGCTAATGTTTCACAAAGAGCCACAATTTGAATGACAAATTTTATTTGGGGGATTGTTGATCAAAGCACCTGTAAAAAATCCCTTCTCTTTTCCAATAGTGCCATAGGATCTTTAACATTCTCCTGAACGGTAGGCAGGACCTCAGTAAACGCTTGGTCTATAGGATGTTTCCCCCACACCCCCAGCACTGTAGTGGGGTGGTGCACTATGGAACTAATACATACTTTATAATTCATTCTTCCATCAACCATTTCATCTTCTAAAAGTAATGCACTTCTGAAACTAACAGCACTGAGCGTTCTCGAGCAACGGAGTATGAGCAGAACAATTTCCACTTACAAAGTACGTTTCCCATAAGAGAAGGTCTCAAAGTGCTTAGCTGAGATGGAATGTATGTAGGAGGGGGTGGGGGGGCGGGGGCAGAGGGCAGAAAAGGAAGGCATTACTAAAACAGGGTTACATACAAGGTAGGTCAGCGCATCTCACCCCACTATGTGTGATTGTATTTTAATCAAATATTTTTACCTGGTTAAGAACCTAAAGAAAAAAAGTCGGTAAGGAATTGGACATTAATGCAAAAAAAATGTTTAAAAGAAGAATTAAAAAAAACATTTTCAACCTTTCATCTTCCACAGGGCTCCCAGCACTATATACAAGCTTCTAGCTAGAGTGTGACAAGTCACGTAGCCCTAAATCTCTGTCAACGTCCCTGTAAGACAATTCATGGCTGTTTGTGGGACATTGCCATGCTCAAACTGGCTGCTACATTCACCTGCAAAATATTGTCACCACATTTTACAGTAAATCCTGTGAAAGGTTTTAAGACATCCTCCCAATGTGAAAGGTTCTATATCAAATGCTAGGATCTATTGCATTGTGGCACTTCTTCCCGACGTGAAAGGCACTATATAAATACATGCTATTATTATTACTATTATTACTATTTTATTATTATCAAGACAACCACTGGGCTTTGTACCACGGGATCCCAAGGTGACGCTTCTCTTTCGAGTTTCCCTCCCCATCAGAACCAGCCAGTCTTGTGCTCAAGCACCTCTCTTGGATTGCAGTTTGAGACCTATGTTGCAACAGACTAATTCATGGCACGCCATGTGCACACTCTGTCAGACTATGCTATCCCATTGCCTATAATGCTAGAGTAGTAGTTCTTTACACAAACCCATACCCAATCACAATAAAAAATAACAGCCAAGTTAAGCACAAAGCCTTGCAACCACTTGGCAGGCCAATCATGGCTTGGGCTATACCCAATAGTCTAATTCAAATTGATGGCCACTGTGAGTTTAGTGAGTAACTTCCTGTCAATTCTTCCAGAAAATGAGCATTTGTGCTCTGGCTGGCAGTTCCCATACACTGGTAATCTAGATAATCACAGATAAAAACCTACCTTTTAATTACTGACTAAATGCAGCAATTATCACAAATAACACTACAATTTCTTAAATTATAATAAGCCCTTTGTACTTTAGTTAAGGTATAGAGCAGATAGCAGCCAGGGTCCTCCCACCCTCAGCAACTCAGCAAAACTGAGTTACAGGAAGGCATTACCTCTTTCAAACTATTTGTTAGCCAGAGCTTACTCGTTGGAGCAAATACTTGCTCTTAAAAGTAAGTATTTGCCATAGGATAATGAATCTTTCACGTACCTGCTCACTTACCAATATACTCTTCAATGGCCTTTTTATTTAACTGGTTCTGTTACTAATTACCCACAGAGGTTGAGGTGCTATTTTCCTTCCATGGTACGGGGTGGGTGTTCCTATCATCTGTCAGATGTGAACCTGGTTGGCTGAGGGGGAACAGTCTATGCTCCACCTTTTCAAAACTGATTCATATCCAATCAGCAACCCAGAACCTCCATGAAAAGTTGCACCAATCTTTTGCACAAAAAGTCCTAAGTATCTGTCAGTTCCGAGCTGAGGAAGCAATTGAATGCAGAGAATCTGAATTGCCCACCTCCACATGGAGCTCTGTCAGTCCACATTCCAAAGACTCATTTTCTATTTAACAATCAAATCAGAACTATAAATATGTGCCATTTCTGTCGTATAAATTTAGGGTATAAATTGTTTTATGTTTCAGAAATGTGAAACCTTCTAAATGCAAATTACATTTTGGTGATGTCACCCACTTTATCCAGATTACTTGTGCATGGAAGATATTAATACAACACTACAACAATTTACATTTATATAGCACCTTTCACGTCAGGAGGATATCTCAAAGCGTTTCACACAACTGACTGGGAACCCGAGCTGGGGGTGGTGAGAGGGAGGGAGAGCGATAACCGAAAACACGGTTAAAAAGGTCTTAAGGGAGCTTAGCATTCTTTTATTGTGTTTAAAAAAAACAATACAACTCCTGCTCCCTTTAATTAAAGGGCACTTCTTTGTTTCCCAGTGCTTCCAGTTTTGATCCCTGCCTGACAGATTGCCATTCCTCATTACTGCCACTCTGTCCCAGTGTGGGTCACTTAACTCACAGGCCTATTTTACATCAATCACACTCGTTAGTAGAATGTTTTCTAGTTAAATATAGAAAATCCCTGAAGGCCCAATACAGCAATGTTACCCAGCCACCAGGGAACCATATATTCAGATACCTCCTGCACCCCAATGTGCTCTCCCAACTCCACTGCTACCTTCCAGGAGCCAACACAATATTACAGCTGGCTGCAGCAATCCTGAAAGCTTTTCTCCAAATGTCCCCATGTTTCAATACTCCTCATCAAAACGTTTTAATTCCCAACTCCAAAAGTTGCCAAGTTGCAAACATTTAGATTTTTTTAAATACTTTAAACGTACTTCTGGCCCTCCAAATGGTACATCTTTCATATATAGATATAAAAAAACACCCTCTCGCTTACCGCTCCTTCAACACCATACCTTTCACAGCTCCAAAGTCTCAGCAGAGCACAGGCCATAGAGTTATGGTTCTCAGTCCATTGGACATATACAACAGCAACAATAATTCTGCAACGGTCATTTAAAAAATAAAACACTCTTTCTTTCTATTACTTGGCAGATTATTGGTATTAGATTGGTAAAATCCGGCCGGAAAGGTTTATCTAAAAAGGCAGCCTTCCTTATTTCTTACCAAGCTCACATTTAAAACCGACAATAAAGCATTAAAATAGCAGATAACATTTCAGTAACACAGGATGGATTCAATACATCAATTTAACTGATAAAATAAAATATACTCAGAAAAAGATTACACCGAACTCAGATTTCAACTATTAGTTGTAGTTGTCCATCCTACCTTATTAATGTTCTTTCCCTGAAGGAAATACTATCTACTGTATGTGAGCGTTACTGTTTTCTATCAATTCCCTGCAAATATATGAACCATAAGAAACAGCTAGAATCCAAAGGGGTGGTTAGTTTAACCTGTCTGTATGAAATACAGTTCAGCACTTACATATTCTTCGCACGTGCTCTGTAGCAACAGGGTTTATTTTGAAGCTTCACTGGGTTCAGACTGCTGAATTATGTAACTGGTCCATTTAACCTTAATACTGATTGAACACATGGCAGCAAGCAGCAGGAGACCAGACAAGCAGCAGCCGTGCTGGTCGTTAAAAATGCTTCAGGCAGAATACACTGAACTATATCAAGGACTGAGATTCAGAGCTCAGGGTAGATAGCGTGTCGAGAATCCAGTGTTAGTATTTCACTAACTTTCAGAAAGTCTTTTTCAACTGTGATCACTAATCAAATGCTGGTCATGTTTTTTTTCTCCTGTCAGAACACTTTCCTTCTCTGTGTGATGCTGGGATCTTTAGCTCCAACACATTCATCAAATTAAAGTGAAGCTTGTCCAATTCATCGCTAGGGATCTCTTTCAAATCAGTCTCAAGCATTTAAATGATTCAAAGCAGACCTTAAGTTACATTGCATTGAACTTGGAAATTCAAGTTAAACTTAACCCAGATAAAAAAAATCTTGAAGTATTGCTGC